TGATAATCGTTAAACAGCTTTTAAGGAATTAGTTTGAAATATTGATTTAATTCTCTCTTGGTATCTTATTYATGGTACTTTATTCTTTTAAGTTTTAAATCTAAAACAATTATTAACACAATATATAGGTACATAGTAACGAAAAGTGAGTGATAAGAAATGATACGTTTTTTAAGGTAGATGTAATTAATGAAAAATTAATAAAGAAAACTGATAAATTTTTTTTWAAGTTGAATATCGAATTTTAACTTAATACATCAGGTTTAAACTATGATTTTTATGACAATTATATCAATAAAAAATTGTGTTACAAATACACAAAAAATATGACTATTTTTATGAACATTTTGAAATCAGTGCTAGAATTTATTAATTAAAGATGCATTTTCAGTCCCTGGGCAATATTGTTTGAACTTTGAAATATGTTACTAATTAGTTGATTTTTATGTAATCCATTTGAGTTTGATTGTTTAATCACCCGGTTCAAAAATTAATGTGAACTCTTACTATTGATATAGGATTTCGATAACGATAATGTTAATAACATTTAAATACTACTATATTAATTCAATGTTTATTTTATTTTTCAATATGTTTTATAGTTGTATATTCTTATTATAATTTATTTATTCATAATACATTTTAGTAATTTATGGCTTTGAAATAGAKACAGGGACCAAATGAAAATCTTTCATGAGTCAAATGGATTGGACACCCCTACTGTATACTATTGAAATAGAAATGAACTATAATTACATATTTGAAATTAATTACCATTAAATCAGTTTTATTAAAAATTGAACACCATGGTGAAACTTTATTTTTCTCCCAAGCGGTTTCAAAAGCACAATATGTATATATATTCTTGGCATCCTCTTAAATAAATAATTATGTTTATTTTATTTCCATAAACAATGAAATTAATGAGTAAAATATTWACTAACTAAATGTTAAAGTGTAATCAAGTCCAAGTCTTGAAGATAAACTTTTAAGAGTGACATTAGTCAATTGAGATTCAACAAATTGTTGGTATTCAACTAATGCTGAAGAGGATTTTTTAACATCTTTTCTCCATTTTTGGCAAACTTTATAAAACTAAAAACAATTAAATAGACATATTTTTAGACAGATTATTTTTATAAAATAAATATTTACCAACACAATGATAAAATTATAATATTGTATTAAATAAAATTAACTATAACAGCAATCAAAATAACATGTCAAAATGTGTAGTTAGAACACTTAGAACTATTGTAAT